TAAAAATAATTCAAAAAATATGCTTCCAACCCCCAGTTGAACCCCTTCTCCCGGGTTGCTGGGGATGAAATATTTTTTTAAAATTGAATCAGCACCTAAGTTAACTGTGGTTCAAATATAAATCTGTAGAAACGAGCAGATTTCGAGAAATTTAAAAATAATTCAAAAAATATGTTTCCAACCCCCAGTTGAACCTCTTGTCCCGGGTTGCTGGGGATGAAATATTTTTTTAAAATTGAAGCAGCACCTAAGTTAACTGTGGTTCAAATATAAATCTGTAGAAATGAGCAGATTTCGAGAAATTTAAAAATAATTCAAAAAATATGCATCCAACCCCCAGTTGAACCCCTTGTCCCGGGTTGCTGGGGATGAAATATTTTTTTAAAATTGAAGCAGCACCTAAGTTAACTGTGGTTCAAATATAAATCTATAGAAACGAGCAGATTTCGAGAAATTTAAAAATAATTCAAAAAATATGCTTCCAGCCCCCAGTTGAACCCCTTGTCCCGGGTTGCTGGGGATGAAATATTTTTTTAAAATTGAAGGAGCACCTAAGTTAACTGTGGTTCAAATATAAATCTGTAGAAACGAGCAGATTTCGAGAAATTTAAAAATAATTCAAAAAATATGCTTCCAACCCCCAGTTGAACCCCTTCTCCCGGGTTGCTGGGGATGAAATATTTTTTTAAAATTGAATCAGCACCTAAGTTAACTGTGGTTCAAATATAAATCTGTAGAAACGAGCAGATTTCGAGAAATTTAAAAATAATTCAAAAAATATGTTTCCAACCCCCAGTTGAACCTCTTGTCCCGGGTTGCTGGGGATGAAATATTTTTTTAAAATTGAAGCAGCACCTAAGTTAACTGTGGTTCAAATATAAATCTGTAGAAATGAGCAGATTTCGAGAAATTTAAAAATAATTCAAAAAATATGCATCCAACCCCCAGTTGAACCCCTTGTCCCGGGTTGCTGGGGATGAAATATTTTTTTAAAATTGAAGCAGCACCTAAGTTAACTGTGGTTCAAATATAAATCTATAGAAACGAGCAGATTTCGAGAAATTTAAAAATAATTCAAAAAATATGCTTCCAGCCCCCAGTTGAACCCCTTGTCCCGGGTTGCTGGGGATGAAATATTTTTTTAAAATTGAAGGAGCACCTAAGTTAACTGTGGTTCAAATATAAATCTGTAGAAACGAGCAGATTTCGAGAAATTTAAAAATAATTCAAAAAATATGCTTCCAACCCCCAGTTGAACCCCTTGTCCCGGGTTGCTGGGGATGAAATATTTTTTTAAAATTGAAGCAGCACCTAAGTTAACTGCGGTTCAAATATAAATCTGTAGAAATGAGCAGATTTCGCGAAATTTAAAAATAATTCAAAAAATATGCTTCCAACCCCCAGTTGAACCCCTTGTCCCGGGTTGCTGGGGATGAAATATTTTTTTAAAATTGAAGGAGCACCTAAGTTAACTGTGGTTCAAATATAAATCTGTAGAAACGAGCAGATTTCGAGAAATTTAAAAATAATTCAAAAAATATGCTTCCAACCCCCAGTTGAACCCCTTGTCCCGGGTTGCTGGGGATGAAATATTTTTTTAAAATTGAAGCAGCACCTAAGTTAACTGTGGTTCAAATATAAATCTGTAGAAACAACCACATTTCGAGAAATTTAAAAATAATTCAAAAAATATGCTTCCAACCCCCAGTTGAACCTCTTGTCCCGGGTTGCTGGGGATGAAATATTTTTTGAAAATTGAATCAGCACCTAAGGTAACTGTGGTTCAAATATAAATCTGTAGAAATGAGCAGATTTCGAGAAATTTAAAAATAATTCAAAAAATATGCATCCAACCCCCAGTTGAACCCCTTGTCCCGGGTTGCTGGGGATGAAATATTTTTTTAAAATTGAAGCAGCACCTAAGTTAACTGTGGTTCAAATATAAATCTATAGAAACGAGCAGATTTCGAGAAATTTAAAAATAATTCAAAAAATATGCTTCCAGCCCCCAGTTGAACCCCTTGTTCCGGGTTGCTGGGGATGAAATATTTTTTTAAAATTGAATCAGCACCTAAGGTAACTGTGGTTCTAATATAAATCTGTAGAAACGGGCAGATTTCGAGAAATTTGAAAATAATTCAAAAAATATGCTTCCAACCCCCAGTTGAACCCCTTGTTCCGGGTTGCTGGGGATGAAATATTTTTTTAAAATTGAATCAGCACCCAAGTTAACTGTGGTTCAAATATAAATCTGTAGAAACGAGCAGATTTGGAGAAATTTAAAAATAATTCAAAAAATATGCTTCCAACCCCCAGTTGAACCCCTTGTCCCGGGTTGCTGGGGATGAAATTTTTTTTTAAAATTGAAGCAGCACCTAAGTTAACTGTGGTTCAAATATAAATCTGTAGAAACGAGCAGATTTCGAGAAATTTTAAAATAACTCAAAAAATATGTTTCCAACCTCCAGTTGAACCCCTTGTCCCGGGTTGCTGGGGATGAAATATTTTTTCAAAATTGAATCAGCACCTAAGTTAACCGTGGTTTCAATATGAATCTTTTGAAACGAACAGATTTTGAGATATTTTAAAAAACAAAATAACATTTAAAAAAATACCGTCGCGTATATATACCCCTTGATATAATTTCCCCAAGAATATGTTTTTTTTTTGCTGATATGTAACTGTAGTAGAATTTTAGAAAACTAAAGTCAAGTGAGGTAAAATACAATTTCTGTCGATTAAAATATGACCCGACGCCAATGGGCGTTCGGGTATCTTCGGAAAATTTGGCTACTATCTTTTGCCACCAACTTCACACCGGTGATTTGAGCTATCAACTGCAATGAAACAGACTATTACAATACAGCACATGGAGGAAGCGCTGTCATAATTAGAGAAAACATATCTCCCATTGAAGAGACGAGTTATAAAACAATAGAAATTCAAGCTTCAGCAGTAAATGTGAAAACCAAAACATACACATCCACCATATGTGCTGCCTATATACCACCTTTAATGCAAAAAATAGCCACTGGGGTTCCAGACTAACCAATTCCAAGGGGAAGGAGCTTCTGTGAGCTATTAGATAATGAATATCAATGCGAGCCCATATCCACTGGTATAGGCCAATAACATATTATCCAACAGATCCTGGAAAAATTCCTGATCTTATTGAGTTTTTCGTAGTAAAAAATATACCTATCTTCGAGTTTTCTGGAGATAGAAAAAAGTTATATGATTTACACTCAGAACACTCACCTATTATTCTAACTCTTAGTGAATATATAATTGAGAAAGAAGTAGTTATTTCATTAGTTATAATAAACTGACGGACTGAGCTTGTTTTAAACAGAGTCTGTCGGAGAAAATCAGTACCGTTGCGAACGCCATGCCACAACAAATTGATGAGGAAGTCGATTATTTTATTGTCAATATTCAACAAGCAGCTTGGGAAAACAGTCCCAAACCAAAACAAATTTTTCAAGGAAAAACTATCCAAAAGAACCGAAAAAAGATCCAAGATAGGACCTAATTTCTAGTGAAGTAATAAAACAACTCCCCAGGAAAGCTATTGTAAAATTATGCAACCTTTTCAATGCGTTCTTTAGGCTTACCTACCTGAACTTTGGAAAGTTGCAAAATTTATCATGATATCAAAACTCGAAAATCCACCTCATGATGTAAAATCCTTTAGGCCAATATCAGTATTGCCAGTTTTACCCAAGTTCTTTGAAAAGATAATGCTAAAAAAAATCCAGCCATAGTAAGACAGGAGATCATTCCAACTCATCAATTTAGATTCCGCGACAAACACTCTACGATCGACCAAAGCACACAGAATAACCAATATAATAGAAAAATCGCTGGAAGAGGAAAAAGTCTGTTCCATAGTTTCCCTCGATGTAGCACAAGAATTTGAAAAAGTTTGGATGAAGGACTAAATTTTAAATTGAAAGTGTTTCTGCCAAAACAATATTCTGATATTTTGGAATCATATATGATAGACATTTCAGAGTCAAATAGGAAGATGTTGAGTCAAATTTACGAAAAATAAAAGCAGATGTACCTAAGAGTAGCATGCTAGGTTCCTACTTATATTTATTATTTACTTGTGACATCCTAAAACCAGAAAATTGACATCTAGCAACATTCGCCGATGATACTGTTTTAATTACAGTGGAAAAAGTATTGAACAATCAACAGAAAAACTGCAGAACGCTGTCATTGGAGTTCAAAATTGGACCAAAAAATGGTGAGTAAAATTAAATGAAACCAAATCAATTCATGTTGATTTCACAAACAAAAACGTAAATCACAAAAAAATCGTACTTAAGAGAGTAACATACAAGTTATGCAAATATACTAAGAAACATTGTACATGAGTTCATGTACCTTGGTACCTTCGAAATAGTGACCTACATCGGGACCTAAAAATTGAAACTGTAACAGACTATAAGAAAGTACGGAAAAATCCATGAAAATTGACTACATCAGCATGTGAATGTGGAAGCGATTGAGATCCTTGACAACTCTAAGCTAGTTCGAAAACTAAGAAGGGTGAAGCTGTTTGAGCTAGTGAACTAAAATTAAAAAACAACAAAATAGTGCTATAAACACATCAAAATTGTGATTTACAGTTTAAGCAGAGTGAGGAAAACTGTTGAGTGAACCTTAAAGGCAGACGCTCACTGGAGCGTAGCGTAGGGAAGCGCGGCGTAGAGGACTTTTTATAATACATTGTTTTAAATGGGAGTCTGCCGATCGGTGCGCTTCTGACAAGTGAGCGTACTCCCGTTTAAAACAATGTATTTAAAAAGTCCTCTCCGCCGCGCTGCCGTGCGCTGCGCTCCAGTGAGCGACAACCTTAAGAATTGTTAACTTTATTTTATAGTAAATCAGGTAAAAACAAAATTGCTTATCAGTCTTACTGATTACTGACTAGATTGTGATGTAATAATTAATAAACACAATGTGTTGTATAAATAAAAGAAGACATTTTTTTATTAGTCTTTATTAATACTTATTCATTAACAATTAATAATTTTCAATGTATAACCTATTCCTTGTGAATTTTTTTGTGAATAAAAATAATTTGTTTGCTGAAAAAAAGCCTAGTATCATACATTATATTTTTCTACTATATAAACACACTTAAGTCAAATTGAATATCAGCATATTTGTTGTCAGTTTCTTTACTTTCAGTGTCTTAATATGACATTGACAAAAAAACATCTACTTACTTTAAAAAGTGATTGTAGAAAAAAAAAATTATAATAAAAACAAACATCAAACAATCATCTAATAAATAATAATTATTGCTAAACTATACAAAAATTGCTAAAACCAAAAACATTCCTCAATAAATCAAACTGGAAATTATTGCAAAATTTACTGGTAGTTCCAATTAAATTTTATACTGACCAAAAAAGGCACAAAACATATGATAAGCCATTAAAACTTTTGAAAATTATTGCTTCGCTTTTATGTACCATTTTTCACTCTTATGGGTTTAAGTCCCATTAATGTTTGTTGCCCAAAAATTGTAAATAATAGTGACCTTTCAAATACCCAATCCCCTATCTCAATAAAAAATTTACAAAATGTACAGTTTCTCATTAAAAATAAAAAAAACAAACCAACTTTGTTACATTTGTATCATTATTGACATAATTTAATAGCACCCATTTCCTACTAGAAAATACTAACAATTGAGTCGTTATAACTAATTTTTTAGGCTCTTCGAACTATGTAAGTAGTGAATTTTATCACTAGTAATTTGTTGTGCTATTCTCTGGGTTCTTCGCTGGGCATAGGGAGGTATTCGAAAGTGTTGACTTCTTCAAGTACGAGGTCTGAAATAGTTCATAAAATTATATTTTTACTTAGGTATCATATTTTTATTTTTGCAGCCACTTCTTGTTATCCCAATTATTTATTTGAGGCAAAAACACAGCCAATACTCAATAATGATAATTTTCTAGTCAAAAATTTCAATTCTTACCCCTCCATTTCTCTACAGGATAATTGATCATTTCGTCGCCCTGATCGAATGGCGCAGAAGTAGGCTCGTCATTAGGATCAGCATAAGCTGCCAAATACGAATGCGCCAGCGCTTGTTCGGCAGTTATACGTTTATCGCTGTCAATCTCTAACATAAGACTTAGTAAATCTATGGCTTTGGGATTCGCTCCAGAAAAGTACTGATAAAGGTCCTTTTTGGGCATAGCTGGAAGTGATTTTATGTAACTTCTGGCCTAAAAATATAGTGTGCAGTTGAAGCTTAATGTCGTGAGCCTTTTTTTTTTATTTTCTACTTACACTTTCAGAGGTTATTCTGTTCATAAATTCATCATTAGGCGTCCCAAGGATTTCCATTATTAAATTTAGTTGATGAATGTCTATGGTATGTTAAGAAATTCATTATCGACATTGAACAGCATTTTGTAATACATTTAGGAAATCTGTAAATATTGCAAGCCATTTTTTTTTTTAAGAGAGGCAATAGAAATAAATGCTTCATATTTCAGTAAAAGACAAAACAAGATTTCAATAAAGAATGATAATTTGTTTTGAAATTTTGACCAGTATAAATTATTTCTTCCAAAGACTTACTATATTTTGCAACAGAATTTATAAATGATGGTTATGTATGTATTATTGAACTTGAAGCAATATTATGTGATCAATTTTACAAAAATGCTTTCGAATACTTACGAAGTTTCATTAATTAATATAAATCAATAATAGGTAAATTTTAAAAATAATAAACAAAGACAAAAAAAGGATACGATCTGTTCCCGGAAACAAAGTCCTTCCAGTTAAAAGTTCAGCCATAATACAACCAACAGACCAAATATCTACAGTTTGATTATAGTGCATCCAATTTAGCATAATTTCTGGGGCTCTGTACCATCTGGTCGCAACGTAGCCCGTCATTTCGGTTTCTGTAGGCCTCGCCAGTCCAAAATCTAAGATTTTAAGTTCGCAGTCTTCGTTCACTGCGATATTTGACGGTTTCAAATCCTAAGTTTTGAAGTTATTACTTTTTTGTTTTCAAGTTTGGCTGGTTTTTACTTACCCTATGAATAATGCCTGCCGAATGGATATATTTGAGTCCCCTTAAAATTTGATAAACTAAAAATTGAACGTGGTCGTCTGTTAGTCTTTGTGTTCTTATTATGTTGTTCAAATCGGCGCCCATTAAATGAGTTACCAAGTAGATCTAAAAGCCATATAAATTATCTACAATCAAATCTGATCAGTGTTTTCAATCACCCGTTTCCATTTACCCACAATGACTTTTATTTGTCACTCATTTGTAAAACGTCATTTATCAAGTCAAAACATAAACAACGTAAATTGATTTTTACCAGTTACTGGCTCTACTGACTTGTAAAATTGACAGCTAAACTGTAATAGTATATTACAATCCGAGACGGAAAATACTTCATTGCTGGTCGAGAGGTTATTATAGTTTATCGAGACGCGAAGCGTCGAGATAAACTCAACCTCGAGACAGAAATGAAGTTTTCCGTCGAGGTTTGTATACTTTTTTATTTTCAACCCTTAATTTTCTGATGCAAAAACTAAAGATTCTGTTATACGAAATTTTCATATAGTGTAAAACTGGCCTTAGAAAAAAATATTTCACTTTTTTTGTCAATGTCATCAATTTTGACGATCTCAAAGGCCCTGTAAAGGCCAAAACAAAAGACGAAACCACAGGAAACCGCAAAATCAACAACCATAGATAAGATCAACAACGCCTTAACGACGGTAGTTTTCGCTCAGTATTTTTGCGGAAATAATAGATTTTCACTAGATTTCTCCCCGTTCTCCCCAAAGAAATGATTTCGGAAAGTGAAGATGAAGCGATGGATTGTACCCCACCTGAATTAAAAGAAGCAGCAGACAGGATTGGAGAGAGTTTGCTTCCAGCAAAAAGCAAATTTCGGTACGAAAAGGCTTTTCAAATATTCGAAGCATGGTGTAGCCAGAAAGGAACGAGAAATACTGCCTCGGAGACCGTTTTGTTGGCGTATTTTGGCGAATTATCTAAGGAAAAGAAGCCTTCGACTTTATGGTCGACTTACAGTATGTTGAAAACCATGATTAAATTGAAAGAGAAAGTTGATATCTCCAATTACGCAAAACTTATAGCTTTTTTGAAGCGGCAAAATCTGGGCTTTCAGCCGAAAAAGTCGAGCGTTTTTTCCAGAGAAAACATTAACGAGTTCCTCACGAAGGCAGCTGAAGAATTCATTAGCATCAAGGTAGGTTTTCAAAAAATATACAAAGAAGATAAAAATGCGAAAATCAAAATGATTTTCTGTATGCTATAGCTAGGTTACCCATTTTATTTTTATCTGGTTTCAGGTAGCGCTAATTGTTGGTGTGTCGGGTGCATGTAGGAGCGATGAACTAGTCAAGATGAAAATGGAGCACGTCAACGTTTTGGAAGGAAAGATCGCTATAGAAATTCCACACACAAAAACTTACACAAGTCGATCGTTTATCATAAGCGATCCAGATTGGGTTGCTATTTTCCACAAATACCTCACTTTGCGGAAAAATTTGAAAAATGACAGGTTATTTGTTCAATGGCGAAATGGGAAATTACATAACCAAGCAATTGGCTATCATTCAATCTCAAAATTTCCACATAAAATAGCTGCTTTTTTGAAGCTTCCAAAAATTGAAACTTTTACAGGGCATGCTTTTCGTCGTACTTCCGCAACCTTATTGGTTGACAACGGGGCCGATCTATTGCAACTCAAAAGACTGGGAGGGTGGAAATCGAGCACGGTTGCTGAAGGCTACATAGAGGCATCTTTGGAGAACAAAAGTAAGACTGCTCTGATGCTATCCTCTACTTCCAAAGGTATTCAGTTGTCCAGTGCATCCACAAGTACATCACATGCGGAAACTCATCCGCAAGCGCAAGAAATAATAGTTCCAAACGAAACACAATTCCAACAGGATGGTCTCAAGATTTCCATTATAAACAACAATGCTAATTTAACAATTAATGTAAATAAGTGAATAGATTTAATTAGTTCCATGTAATACATGTGGTTTTATTATTATATGTGAGAGCTGTATGAAAATTATCAATTTGGAACGAGCAGGGAAATGGGGACGGAAAAGCATTTGCCGTCCCGGACGGAAAATGCTTTTCCGTCCTAGGCAGGCATATGCATTACCGTCCCGATAAATGTCAAAGTCCAGAAATGTGACACTTTCAAGATTTTGAAAAACCTGCAATGTCAACATTACATATGTGGTTGAAAATAAAAGCTTTTTACAAGTCAGTAGGATCGGTAGAATTATTTATTAAAATTGTATTACCTATGTATTAATTTTTTATTTATTGTTTACAAATGAGTAACAAATAAATTATTGTACATCATACGCCAGGTATCAGTTTTTACTGGCTCTTGAAGGTGACAAGCTCGCCTGACGGCTCGCTAGTCATTTCCTTCAATCGCCAGTAAAAACTGTTTCACAGAACATATCACCTATAGAAAAATATCTCAAATGGAAGAATCGCGACAAAGGTTTTTAGTTAGGTTTTCATTCAACGATGGCGACACTGTCGGGAGATAAGAGAAATTTACAGGTATCTGTGGCGTGGACAGTGATTTGTGTTGATTGGTTTTGTCATTTATTTTGTCATTTTAAAAGTCAAAATTTGAATTTTTAAATTGTGTTGTTGTACCCCACGGTTTCTACGCGCGGTAAAGTGAAAATTCAAAAAGTTTTGGTTGAAAAAAAACCTAATTTTTGTTCGTATTTTTTTGTATTTATTCGTTTGTTTCGTTTCGTTCGTATTTGTATTTATTATTCGTATTTACTTTGCGATCTACCTATAACTGCGTGACTCTTGCTAACTTACTAACTCTTTTTGCACTATGTTCGACATCGGAAACTTCCTGCCAGTCATAGTTTTTAAAAAAGTGAGGCGAAAAGAGCTAAGAGGAGTCAGCAAGCCAAATGCAGTTGTACATTAAAAATTATACAAAAATAATAAAAATATATGAAAAAAATCAATTCGCCTTTTTGTCAAGAATACTCGATTAGTTGGGTTTTCAGTCAACGAGGGCGCCGTAATTCATAACCGGTACATACCATTGCAGATACTTTTCTAGAGGTGATATGTTCTGTGAACTGTTTTACCTGGCTAATAATGTAAAATACTATAATAACTTTTACTCAATACATTTACCTGACTGTTATCATGTTTTGGATAAAACACATCTAGTAACCCTATGACATTTTCATGACGCATATGTTTCAAAAGTTTTAGCTCTCGATAAGTTCTTTTTGCATGGACAGCAGTTTGGAAGGGACGGGCTAATTTTTTTATTGCTACTTTTTTCTTGGTCTGTGTATCAAGGGCAGAACTGAAATGAATTCACAGTTTAATTAGGAATCAACATCAATAAACTTCTGGACAAGGCGTTTACTTGGACACCAAATTTACGTTCGTCGAGCACTTTAGAGTATATAATAGGTAGGGCTAATAGAATATTAGGTTTTATCAAAGGAACCATTAAGTACTTTGGGAGTGTGATTGCTCTGTATACGTCGCTGGTTCGATCCATCCTGGAATTTTCAAATATAATTTGATCGCCATATTATCAGGATCATATAAACAGACTTGAAAATGTTCAACTTAAATTTATAAAATATGCTAAGTATAAACTTTTTTGCAATGGTATTGAACTTGATAATGATCAGACTATGTTATACCTAGACTTAGCATCTCCTGTTCGCAGAAGAGAATAGTAATTCTTATATAATGTTCTAAACCACTATATCAAGAGTCCAGAATGTTTGGAAATTTTTCGATTTCATATACCTCCTATATATCCAACACGTAGGCAGACCTTGATGCATATACCAATTTGCAATTCTTTTTACTTATTGTATAGTCCTGTTAACAGAGTATCAGTGAATGTGAATAAGTTTTGTCACTGGAATTCTTTAATGTTTCCCATAAAAAATTTAAGAGTTGTGCAAAAAGGGCTGTTTTAGGTTAGTTAGTTTAAGTTAACTTGTAAATGTTGATACGTTAATGCGAGGGGTCAACCACTAGTGGCAGTTGGTGTACAAACAGGTGGCAGTAGGCAGCACTGGCATTATTGGCAATAACTGGCATTATTGGCAATAACTGGCATTATTTGATAGTAACGAGCAGTATTCGGCAGTAACAAGCATTATTTGGCAGTAACAAGCATTATTCGGCAGTAACTAGAAATATTTGGCAGTATCTGGCAGTATTTGTCATTTATAGCGACATCTATCGGTGGTATTTTTTCTAAAAAATCGTCGTCTATTTCAAACGATTACAGGCAGTAATGGCATTTTTAGGCATTATCAGCAGTAAATGGCATTATTCAGAAATAAATGGCATTACAAGCAGTAAATGGCATTATACGGCAGTAAACGACATTATAAGAAGTAAACAGCATTATTTGGCAGTTGGTGTACATATTTTTACTAGGTGGTTTGCCCCTCGCGTTAATGAATGAATAAATCAATAAATTGAAAATTCAATTAAAAGTCTTCTGAAGGTTATTGAAAATCTAAAGTTATTCTGAAGTGCTCTAGAGTTCTCTTAAAAATTGTTCAAATTAGCACAAGCGCATTCTAAAGCTTTTTAAAATACGTTCCAAAGTTTTTTAATTGGTTCCTGAATGAAGCGCTGGAATGATTTAGAAGTTATCAGAAATCTTCAATCAAAGGTCCTTAAGCACTCTTTGATACCAGTGGCGGCGATATGCATAAGCAGATATTAGCGATGCTTAGGGGCCTCGGCACGAAGGGGACCCGAAAGGGCCCCCTTTAAGTACAAATATTTTTTTTTTATATAAAAATGCTTTAAAATAAAATTGAGAAACATATCAGACATAGCACAGCATCCAATATGCATATTCAGTATTTGGTTGCTCCAAGAAAATTATCCAATGGACCAAGAGCTACAGATAATGAAGATTTGAACTATTACCAGCTCTTGATTCTCTGGAAAACTTTCCTGTAGCCAATCAAGAGCTGATAATAATCAAAATTTCGAATGATCATTAGCAGCTCTTAAGTGGATTTCGATCAAAATTTCTTGTTCCGCAGCTTCTAATAAGCTCAAGTACAACTATCCAATGGATCAATAGCCACAGATAATCAAAATTTGAACTATAACCGGCTATTGATTCTTTGGAAAACCTTCCTAGAGCCAATCAATAGCCGGTAATGGTCAAAATTTGAACTTTTATCAACTCTGGAGTAGCAAAATAATTTTTTTTACTACTAACCTGAGAAATAGACATTATTCAATCTATTTTTCTAAGAAAAAATTGAATTTCTCTCCCTAGGTTAATAATGAAAATAATGAAAAAATACCTATGTAGGTCAATAATGAAAATGACGTCATGACGCAAGGATATTGTCATGTTTCTATTGGATCAATTTCAATTTCATCCGTCAATTTGAAAAAAAATACAGGTTTCTGTAGGTACATAGGAAGTTATATAAGCTGTTGATAGAGGGCAGCACTTTCAAGAGGGCGTTCACAAAAAAAAATTAGAACACAGATTTTAAACAATTTTTTTATTTTCTACTAGCAGTAGTAAAAAAAATTCTATATATTCCGCGGTAGAGAAAGTCATTATATACCTCAAACATTATAAACCTCGGCGCTGCGCGCCTTGGTTTATAAAAGCTTTCGGTATATAATGACCAACTTCTCTACCTAGGTATATAATATACTATTTCTAAGGGCATTCAAAGCTCAAGAGCCGATAATAATCAAATTGTCGAATGATCGTTAGCAGCACTTAAGTTGATATCGATCAAAATTTCTTCTTCCGCAGCTTCTAATTAGCTCTAGAGAAATTATCCAATGGATCAAAAGCCACAGATAATCAAAATTTGAACTATTACCAGCTCTTGATTCATTTTTTGTTCTACTCACTGAACACTGGCTGAGGGAAGACGAGATTTGTTTCATTCCTGATTATAGAATTATTTCAAAGTTTTGTAGAGAGGGCGGTTATGGAGGCACAATGATGTTGGCTCATGAGACATTTATAAATACTTTCGAGGTTGAGAGTTTGAATATTTACAATGACCTAATTATAGAAAATAAATTTGAATTTTCAATAATGAAAATTAAAAAGATGAATGTTCATATAATTTGTGTGTACCGTCCTCCTTCAGGCAACCCTCTCCAATTTTTGGAATTATTGGAAGCGTTACTGTCTAGATTTCCAAGCTCCTCAAGGTTAATTCTAGCAGGAGATTTAAATATTGATTTCAACTATAAAGCCTCGAGAGACACAAAATCTTTAATTAACTTATTAACTTGCTTTAACCTCGGAGTCTTTGTAAACGTACCAACACGTATAACTGGCCATTCGGCAAAAACAATCGACTATATCTGTAGTAATATTGAGCAGACTGATTTAATCTGTAACGTTATTCCTTCGGGAATTTCAGATCACGAAGCTCTCACGGCGGAAATAGTACTTTATCACGAAGAGCGAAAAAAAATTCCAAAGAAGACCAGAATATTTAGTACCACAAACTTCAGAACATTTAGAAACTTGGTAAACACCATTGACTGGGATGGCATGCAGGATTCGGCTGATCCGGTGGCACTTTTTCAGAAGCGAATGGTCAGCATTTTCAACGAAAGTTTTCCTTTGCGTAAAATAAAAGTCAAACCTGCAAAACGATGGATTACAAAGGCACTAAAAATTTCTGGTAAAAACCTTCGATCCTTACACACCCTAAGAAAATTTGCTAAATCTGAATGGTTTAACAACTATTTTGTTTTGCAAAATTTATAAAAAAATTATTCGAGCAGCGAAGAAAATTTTTTACCAGCAAAGAATAGATAGAGCAAATAATTCCAATAGAGAATATTGGAAAATAGTAAATGAAATGGGGGGGAAAACATCAAAAACCTCAAACAAAGTGAGTGTTACTCCGTCAGATCTCAACAGCTTCTACTGCACAGTGGCGGGTAAATTAACAAGCAACTTGAAACCGAACAAAGATCCGCTAAGTTTTTTACCACCCTTCACACCAACGGAACAATTCGGGTTAACCCCCACTAGCATTGCAGAAGTAAAAAACATAAAGAGAAGCATAAAAAAAGAAAATTCATCAGGAGTAGATATCGCTGAGGCTGTTCAAGTGCTTGCCGGAGGATGCCCTTGCGGCGCACGTTAATTGTATCAATCGTTCTTTTGAAATGGGTCAATTTCCGGATTGTCTGAAGCTGGCTATTGTTGTTCCTATCTTTAAGGGCGGTGATGATCAAGACCCCTCTAACTACCGACCCATATCTATGCTAACTACCCTTTCAAAAATTATAGAAAAAGTTGCTAAAGCAAGATTGGTGGAATTTCTTAGTAACAACAATATCCTTAGTCCTGAACAGTTTGGCTTTCAAGAACAAAGGGGTACACAGGATGCTATTTTCTCCTTTTTGGAGAAACTGTTTTTTGGGTTGAATGATGGCGAAAAGGCAGCGGCGGTGTTTTGTGATTTTTCCAAAGCATTTGATTGTGTAAATCACAAAATACTGCTGCGCAAGATGGATCATTATGGCATTAGGGGAACAGAATTGAAGTGGTTTGAGTCATACCTTGCGGGACGTAGTCAATTCGTCAGAACATCAGATTATGAAGATTTGGAAACTTCAAAGTTGATGCATGGAGTTCCGCAGGGGTCTGTTCTTGGGCCTATTTTATTTTTAATTTATGTGAATGACCTAGCCGGGCTGTCGATACTGGGGAAATTTGTAATTTTTGCAGATGACACAACAATTCTTTGGAAACATAAAGATGACAATGTTTTGGCCAACATAATAGAGAAGGATTTGTGTAAGGTTGGAGAGTGGTGCGATGCTAACTGTCTTGTGTTTAATGTCAAAAAAACAAACATACTTTCATTCAAGTGCTTCCTTATCGGAATCACACTCTGTGGCAATAGTCTGGAAGAAAAGGAGGTAGTGAAATTTCTGGGACTCCACATAGATTCAAAACTCAAATTTGACAGACATATTGATCATCTCAATGAAAAATTAGCCAAGGGATGTTACATTATAAAGATCCTCGTCCATGAACTGGGAAAGCTTTCAGCTAAGACAGCCTACCATGCCCCAATTGAATCGCATTTGAGATATGGTATAGCGTTCTGGGGATATTCAACACAAAGTGCTATTCAATCGGTTTTTGTTCTACAAAAAAGAGCATTGAGATATCTTTGTCAAGTTGGATGCAGGGAGAGCTACAAGCCTCTTTTTATCAAGCATGAAATTCTAACGGTTCCATGTATCTTTATATTGGAAAATGTATGCTTGATATCTAAAAAGTTCCAGGGGTTGGAAAGAGATGAA